TAGAACTTTGATTTTAGAAAGTTACAAATGGACTAAGGGTCCAGATAAATTTGAAATAAGAATTTGGAATTAATGATAAGAATCCTTCTCCTGGGAAAATGCTTTTGTTTTGAATTCTTTAAAAAAAAACATGATAAGACAGGACGTTGAAGGTTGGCCACTAGAGGGCATTAGAAGGAACTAAAGATTACAATTAAAGGAGAAGAACGCTTAAATCTGACTTACTAATACAGAATGAAGCAAAATATTTTAACATTGGACATACAGTACTGAAGAATATTTTTGAACAATGGACTCAGAAGTTAATTTTAAGAGTGTCTGCCTCTATAGATAGACTGAGTTTAAAAGATGTTATGAAATAAGTTTTACCAGACAAGATTGAGACTGATCTGAAAGTGGACTTAAAAATGACAGGCAACAAGAATGACATGGAAAAAGATGTTACACTGGACTTATAAAAGAAACCGGCTGTTGTCTTCATAATTAAAAGGGATATACAAATAACAAACCATGAGAATGACCTGGATAATTTCCTATAATGGATTTACAAAGAGGCTTGTTAAAGCTTTGAAGAATCTCGTGAGAAGGGACAAAGAAAAAAAAATGAAAAGAAATCAAGTGTAACATCTTTTTCCATTATTTGAAGGGACTGAAGATCAAGATAGTTAGAAGTAAAATGAAGGAATGTAAAGTTGGTTTATTTGATCAAGGTTAAAATAGATAAGTTGTTATCTCTGGTGACCCTCAATGGAATTGTGCTGACGTCAGGACTGATATGATGAGGTTTTAAGGATTTGTTTATAGATGAGAAATATATAGATATGGGAAGAAGAGATCATTTGTAAGACAAAGTGAGAAGTTACTAAAATTGTTTATACTTGTGAAGAAAGGGGAAGTCACTTCTTTATATATGTCCTCTCTTTTCCTTTAATATATTCTCATTTTTTTCTTTCTTTTCTATTTTTTCTATTTTCTGCACCTTCTTTCTTTTCTTTTCTTTTTTTAGGTTTGCATTGGTTTTTTTAAATCATTGTAGTTGTAATTTTTAATAAAATTACTATTAAAAAAACTAAGGTTTTCACTAAGGTAAGCATGGAGCATGAACTACACATTCCACTTATTTTTAATAATTCAGCTTTGATCTGTATGCCACAGGAGTTCTTAAACTTTGCAGGGAGTGAAGCTGGACAGTGCTTAACCTTTGCATACGGCTGGTCAGGCTTCGACCAACGCCCTGCTCCTCCTCTAAACTGCTCGCATCTCCTTGGGGGGCTGCAGCCCACAAGTTGGGAACCTAATCGGTCCCCACGTAGCTAGGATCGGGGGAAGATGGCTCCAGGGTCCATTTCCACAGCTGTAAAACAGGCACCCTAAAAGCGGCATTTCTGGAAGACCCGCCGTCACAGGGTCATTGTGCTGCAAGCCATGAAGAGGGCGGGAAAGAAGGCTGCGCCACGAGCCGTTTCCGGGTGAAAGTTAGAAATCTAGCAAAAGTGTTTGGGGGGGGTGTGCAGGAAGCATCAATGCGTCAGAGGTTCCTGTTTTCCCCTGCAGGAAAGCGGGGCTGAGTGCCAGGTCCTGGGTCAATCTCCAGCCCTTGGGAGAGGGACGAATGAGGGGCAGCCACCCCTCCTCTTCAGGAAGGGGCCTGCCAAGCAGAGGCAAAATTGCTACCCCTCTCGGACCACAAAGCCCAAGGCCATGCTCTGGGAATTAAGGGAGCTGGAGTCCAGCGTCCGGGGGCAGCAGCTGGGGAAGGCAGAATGGAATCAGAAGCGGATTATCCACCTGTTCCTGCACAGATTCGCTTTGCAGATGCTCAGAGGACCCCCCCTTCTTTTAACCCTCTGGGCACAAACATCCTCCAGAGGTTGGACTACAGCCCCCGTCATGCCTCAGCCAGCAGAAGGAGGATGGGGTTGTGGGTGCAACATCGCTGGAGTTGCAAGGTAGGAAAACACCATCTTTGAGAAAGTTGGAAAGTACCAAATCTGCTTTCAGGTTCCCACGTTCCTCCAGGCCACGGAGCTCTGAAACACTCTGGCTGGATCTCACGTGTTGTGCTAAGCCATGTGCCGCCTTAATCAAGGCTTGTGGAATCACCCATGGGGGAATGGGTTCAGGTGCTACACTAGGACAAAATGTGGCGTGATTTTAGCTCACCTCAGCAGGATGCAAGAAGCCAGCCCCCGTGGATTCCGAACTAGGGTTTACAGTGGTTTCTTCAACCAGTCCTGGTTTAAAGCAAACCAGGGATAAGCAAGATAGGTAACCTCAAGCAGAGAAAGTGCACTGCCCAGTCCAGCCAAGACAAGTGTCACAGCTGTACTGCAAGGGAGCAGGTCACCCTGTTTCCGTTCAGAATTTGCGTCTGTCCTTGGACTCCCTCCTTCCTTCCTTCCTTCCTTCCTTCCTTCCTTCCTTCCTTCCTTCCTTCCTTCCTAGTGACCAGGGTTTGTCCAGGACTTAAAAAGACGTGTCTCCCTCCTGCCAAGGAATCTCCCACCTTCTCCAGCATGGAAACAGGAGGGCTTAGCTCGGAAAGAGGGGCATCCATAGGGTAACGGTGCAACTTTCTGGTTGTTATCATCAGCAAACATCTTCACCTTTTCTCCAAGGAACTCAGAGGGTTATTTGGTGGTCTTCCTCAAACAACAACTCTGGGAGGTAGATTTGCCTGAGAGATTGCAACCCACCCAGTTTTGCAGTGTGAGTCGGCCCCATGTCTGAACCAGGACCTGCACCCAGAAGGTCTGGAGACCCCTAACCACTACCTCTCACTCTTCCTTGCTGGATAAGCTTTACCTTGTGTCTCCATCAGACACGGCCCCTGCTGGTTTAGCGACCAGGAGATCATTCGAGACGGCAAACAAGCATGGCGGGGGTCAGTCGGAGGGGAAAGAGACAGAGGGGAGCAGGATGGATCCTCAGAACAGCCTGGGGGTCTTACCTTCTGCAACGTTGACGGTGAAGGGGCTTTTGGGGATCTGAGCTCCCGCGAAGGTGACGTAGATCGTATGGGGACCCTCCAGGACAGGTCGGTAAGTGCATCGGAAAATATTGTCCCCTTTGTCTTCCAGCACCACTTCCACGGTGTCCCGGCGGCCCTGGGGGTCCACGATCACCACCCCCACATCACCTGCACCCGCTCCTGGAAACGGAAGACCCTGTTAGCTGCCCGGCTCCCCGTCGTGCTCCAGCCCAGTTCAGCACAGGAAGCCTGGGGTGCCGCTGAGAACAATAACCCCACAGCAGAGCTACAGGACACACGGATCGGTAGCGTTTCCCCAAACCCTCCCTGCAACAGATTACAAGGGTCACTTAACTCAGTGTTTCTCAACCTCAGCGACTTGAAGATGGGCGGACTTCAGCTCCCAGAATCCCCCAGCCAGCATGCTGGCTGGGGGATTCTGGGAGCTGAAGTCCGCCCATCTTCAAGTCACTGAGGTTGAGAAACACTGACTTAACTCCTTCCTGAGATATCACTTCTTCCCCCAACTGGAGTGTCCGCAGGGAGGGTCAAAAAAGTCAAAATGGCACCCGTTGCACTCCTTGCCCAGCAATAATTCCATCTAACCTCTACTTGGCTTGTGGAATTCACAGCCACTTTCAGACGGATAGAGCCAAGATAATTCTTCTATAACCTGACCTGCTGCCGTGAATTCTTCGCGAAATTCTTTGGACCAAAAAAATGCTTGCAAATTTCTGGCCTCTCTTCCCTTGGTTCTCATTTGACCACGAGGCCACCACTTTGGGCACATTTTCTTAGTCTGTTCCTATATTTCAGCGTAATTAATCCTGGATGGATCGATCAATCGATGGATCAACGGATCGGAATACTGTCTCTATAATTATCTTGCAAATTTAGATGTTATAATATGGATTTGAAATGTCCTGAAATCAAGGTTTGTATTTCCTGTGGTTATTTATTTTCCTAGCATCTAAAAAAGGGGGTCTACCAAAAAGTATTAGGGAAGGGAAAGGAACGTGCCCCTCTTTTTATAACCTCGGGGGACTTTGCTTCTCCCTCCTCCTCCCACCCGATGAAATGCCACGTACCTGCAGTGTAGATGTCAAAGTAGGTGGGCTTGTTGGCCACGTTTCCCACGGGCTCCAGGCCTGGTCCACGGGCCGTCACCTTGCTGGCGTCGCCAAGAGCCATGCCCACGTTGACTTCAAAGGGGCTCTTATCAATATTTTGCCCAGCAAAGAGGACAGTGACCTGGGCGGGGGGTAAACAGCAGGAGGAAAATCAGGAGAAATTGGACAACTCAGCCCGGGGCTGCCCACCCGCAGAGAGGGAGAAACTGGGTTTGAAGCGGGTGCGTCTCCAGCATCAAAGTGATTGAGCAGAATTTGCAAGATCGTGATCGAGGAGAAATACCACATTTATTCTCCTCTCCCTTGAGGTCTAGGAACTTGAAAATGGATGTTCTCAAGTGATGCTCTCACCCTAAACACTTGCCAATTCTGGAGAGACCGATACAAGCTTTGGCCTGCCCAGGAGGCAGAAATGCCACAGGGGAATCTCTCTAATGGCAAAACGGCACCCCTTGATTTGTTTGGCAGAAGGCAGCCCTCATCGGAAGTCCTGAAGATCAATTCTCCAGTGTGTAAATTGCATTTTATTGCTGCCTCTTATTGTACTTTATTACTTTTATCGTGGTCTACATTTTTTAATGCATAGTCCAGTCTTTTTTCCAAAACCCAGAGGTCACCCCATCCTGCTCGCCAGCCCCCGGGCCACGGGGCGGCCCCCTCACCTTGTGCAAGCCGGCCACCTTGGGCACGTAGGAGACGGAATAGGTCCGATTCTTGTCGTTGTTGGCAACCACCTTGGCCTGGGGAGAAAGAAAGGGAGAGCTTCACTGGGCAGCCCAGTGGCTCTCGCCAACAGCTGCCGCCTGTCGCTCAGGACGACCGCAGCGGCTCCTTCAGCAATGCGCCCCAGATGC